TTGCAAAAATTGTTCGAGAAACATGCGAAGTATTATGGATAATTCTGCAACCAAAGGAAATGGCTGTACCAACAATGGATGATTGGTTACATATATCTGAGGTGTTTTATAATAAAACCCAATTTCCGAATTGTGTAGGAGCTGTAGATGGGAAACACATCAGACTAGAATGTCCCCCCAGAAGTGGTACTTTATACTACAACTACAAASATTTTTTTYCCTTAATCCTCATGGCCATCTGTGATRCAAATTACTGTTTCACAATTATAGATGTTGGATCATTTGGGAAGRAGAGTGACTGTAATATTTTTAAAAAATCAGCATTCGGAAAAAAATTATACGGTTGTAAAAATAATTTTCCACAACCTAAATGTTTGCCAGGAGATGAAGGAGGTACTCCGCAACCCTTCGTTATAATTGGTGACGAAGCGTTTGCTTTGCACACGAATCTTTTACGCCCTTTTCCCGGAAGAACTTTAAATGATAAAAGGCGTATATTTAATTACAGTCTGTCCAGAGCAAGGCAGAATATTGAATGTACGTTCGGTATTTTATSCAACAAATGGAGGGTTTTTCACACCGCGCTATTGGTAGAACCAGGTTTCGCTGTAGCGATAACTAAAGCTTGTTGTGTTTTGCACAATTTTGTTAGACGTAGAGATGGATATAACACAGAAGATGCTCAAAATTGTGAAATGGAAGATGCAATAGAAAAAATTGGAGTAGGYAACTCAACCTCAATGGCAAAAGAAGTGAGAGACTATTTTGTCAACTATTTTAATGAACCGGCTCATGAGCAAAACAAGGTAATAGGCTAATTGTGAGGATAATATTATGCAATATAATGTGTAGTGTACTTATCATATTTATATTACCTATACCTAATACCTATACGGCTATACTTATATTGTTTAAATATTTAAAAAAATGATTTATATGTTATTTATGGATTAAGAATATTGTCATGTGCACTGAATATTAAATAAAAACTTACAAGTTACAACATGATATATTTTATGCTTACATTTTTTTTATTTTTAAAAATTTCCTCAAGTTCATCGAAGTCTTTGATAGAAGCTCTGGCCACCTTGGTCCAACTAACATGTTTGGCATTCTTATCATGGTATAACTTATTTTCTATAAATTGAATATGTAATATTATGATGAATGACGTTTTACGTAAGTATAGTATTACACGGTATACATACTCAGAATAATTAAGTTTRTTAAATTCTAAATTCAAATTAATAAATATGATAATGAAAAGAACTTACCTATATTCCATATAGAYTCCTCCTTCGATACCTCATTAATAAATGATTCATTGTCAAACATATTTGACAATTTTCAAATACGTAGGTACAAATATTGAAATATGTAAATACTAAATACTTAAGTATTATA